TGATGCACTTGAACCTCAGATACGTTGTCTGGCTGCCGCGTGCCCCAGTGAGCTCCGCGGCTTGGCCTGGGCTGCCATGTGGATTCATTTAATCAAGTCCTTGTTTAAATGTTCTGCCAGGCGGGCCCCGCCTCTCTGTCCCCCTGGACCTTCGTAGGGACCCGTGCTATTTTTACCCTTGTTATTCTTTTCTTCCCCCATGATAAATGTTTATAGTTTTATTCGTCTAATTATAATACAACATGTTATATCACCATTCGTGCTATGGGTAACAATACTTGTTTTATTAGAAGTGCAACTGGGTTTTATAAAAATATGGTATTTACTATGCATAGAGAATTTGGACATGCTTAATAGTAATAAATTATAAACTGTTATTATTCTTTCCATTTTAAAAAACAACTTTAATTTTAGCAACGAAACAAATATTTTACTTCTTGGTATTTAGCCTAACTCCCCCAAACAGCCATTACAACCAAATTACAGAATTTGTCGCCAATATGATGATCCTGGCATCTTAAAAATTATGCTCCCAATTTTAAATTCAGTTTTATTTGCTAAAATAACAATAGACTATGATTAGGCAGCTCATAGAGAAGAAATTCAAACAACCAATAGCATTTAGAGATATCAACATTATTTATAATGAAAGATATGCAAATTAAATAAAGTACCATTTTCACATATATCAGAAAATTAAATACAAAGAATATCTCTACTGAGCGAGGAGAAGGTAGAATACTTTGTTCTATTAAACTGGCATTTCATGATGCTCACCTTCCTGACATGATCACTCAAGACAAAGCGGGTGCATAAGCAAATGTGGTGAAGAAAGCTGATGGTGCCCGGCTATCAAAAGATATAGCGTCTGGGGTCTTACAGGCTTGAAGGTAAACAAGCAGCCATCTAACTCAGAAGCAACAAAGCCCACATGGAAGAAGCACAGCAGCCTGCGTGATGATGTGTTGAAGGGATCAGGTATCAGGCATCATCAGAACAAAAAACCATATCATTGTGAATAAGGGGGAGTGTGGAGTGGAGACGCAAAGCCCAGCTGTAGACAATTGGACATCCCCTTATGGAAGAGTCACAGAGAGGAGAGGAGCCAGTCAAGGTGCAGTTTAGCAACGATGAAACATACAACTTTCCTCTAGTTCCTAAATGCTTCCTCCCCACTACTATCACCATCCCAGTTCTACCTAGCAAGTCTGGCTAGACCAGAGGATGTACACTGGTACAGATAGGAACTGCAAACACAGGAATCCAGGATGGATGATCCCTTCAGGACCAGTGGTGTGAGTGGTGATACCGGGATGGTAGAGGGAAGGTGAGGTAGAAAGGGGGAACTGATCACAAGCATCTCCATATAATCCCCTCCCTGGGGGACGAACAACAGAAAAATGGGCGATGGGAGACATGGGCCAGTGTAAGTTATGACAAAATAATAGTAATTTATAAATTATCAAGGGTTCATGAAGGAGGGGGGAACTGGGAGGGAGGGGAAAAAATGAGCTGATATCAAGGGCTCAAGTAGAAAGCAAATGTTTTGAGAATGATGAGGGCAACAAATGTACAAATGTACTTGACACAATGTATGTATGGATGGATTGTGATAAGAGCTGTATGAGCCCCCAATAAAGTGATTAAATTAAAAAAAGGATGCATATAATAACAAGAAGAACCTCCTAGTCTACCCTTGATTTCTGCCAACCTTATAGGAAACAGGGAGAGTTGGGGATAGTTTCATCAAGACTCTAGTGCAGTCTTGGGGGTGGCGATGGTGGATGGTGAGGGAAGGAAGTGGGGGGCGGGAGGGGGTGGGTTTCGTTGCAATCTGAGTTGGAAAGGTCTTTCTTCTGCCTGTTCAGACCTCCTGTGGGACGTCTCCTTTACTCACCTCCAGAAGCGCTGTGTGAGTTCTTTCTGTCATTTCTAGCTCTTCTTGGATGAGCTCATCATTTTGATTTGGTGTGTCCTTGATTCCCTGTAGTCGTTTGGGTAAAGCTTTACCTTGTTTTTATTCACTTAAACCTTTTCTTGTGAATCTGGCAAAGGGTTACAGAGCAGTTGTTTTCCTTTCAACAATTCATGCACATTTCTGTTCCATCTCACTGATTGCAGTTCCCCACAAGGCAGCGCCTCTTATTCCATGTCCTCTGTGGGCGTTTCTGGCTTCTTTTAAAAATCATTTTATTGGGGGCTTATACAACTCTTACCACAATCCATACATCCACCCATTGTGTCAAGCACTTTTGTACATTTGTTGCCATCATCATTCACAAAACATTTGCTTTCTACTTGAGCCGTTGGCATCAGCTCATTTTTGTTCCTTCCCCAGCCCCCTCCTTCACGAACCCTTGATAATAAATTATTATTATTTTGTCATATCTTACACTGTCTGACATCTCCCTTCATCCACTTTTCTGTTGCATTTCTGGTTTCTATGCCTCTTTTATTAACCCTGCAAACTCTTTCCTTGAGGAAATGCTGCTCTTTAGATCCCAAATGGCTGCTTATTCTAAGGAATTCATACCACCCTAATGTTATTGTTCCCCATATAGACTGTCTATTGTAGGGCTGAAAGTAGACAATGGGGTTGAGTTCAGTTTCAGGCCAGAAGAGTCTGGAAGGGTCAAAGTCTCCAGGGTTCCACCAGTCTCTGGTGGACCCATAAACTTCATCTATTTTATGCTTTCTTGTTCCACATTTTATCTCCCACTCGTGTGATCCCTTACAGAGTAGTTAGTAATGGTAGTCGGGCACCATCTAGTTTGGTCTCAGGGGTGTAGAGCCTGATGTTTGTGTGGTCCATTAGTCTACTGAATTCATTGTTTTCATGTGTCTGATTTCCTTCACCCTTATTTCCTCCAGACTCTCCTGACTCTCCGATCATATTTCCAAGAGTTCCACTCCAGATTTTGTTTGACTATATCCCATATTCCAGTATCTGACCTCTAACATGGTCAGTTTACTTAGATTCCTGATGCCTTGCATGCCTTGTAACTCTTTGTGGAAATGGGGTATTTTGAACAGTTTAGTGTGGTAAATCTTGGAATTGGATGCTCCCCTTTCCACAAGATTTGCTTTTGTTGGTTCTTGATGGCTTCAGTGGCCCATTTGTGTGATGGCTTTTTCAAAGTATTTTTGCAAAGGTTGTATTCCATGTAGTGTGTGGCCACTAGGGTTATTGGCCAGTGAGAAGACAGAGATTTCCCTTAAGGCTGAGTTGGTCCCCCTCAGTGGGAGGCCAGGCCACCTATGACTCAACCTTTACCCTCACCTCCTGCCAGCAGAGAGCCCATTGAGCTAGTGGGGTGGAAGCCCAGGAACTCTCACATCTTGGTGGAGGAGCTGGTCCCTGGGCATGCTCACTGCACACTTCCCCATGATAAGAGGTGACTCCTTAACCCTTCAACAACCTTTCTCCCAGGTGGTCTTTGGTTTCGATCTGCTGCTTATCCAGTCAGGCCTGACCCTTGCCCTAGGTGGGCAGGGGATGTGCTTGGCTTTCTTTCAGTGGCTGCTGGCACTCACTCCAGGCCACAGCCAGTGAAGGGAAACCCATGTGGGGAAAACAAAGCCAGCCTCTGTGCTGGTTTCTCAGGAAGCCGAGTCTTTCTGGATCCCTACTTGGAACGTGTTCCTTCCCTAGTAAGCCTCGTCGTTGTCGTCATCGTCGTCATGAGTATTGTCTGTGCGTCCTGTGTGGCCAACAAACTGCTGAACCCAGCCTTCGAGAAGGAGAGCACACTGGGCTGGGCAGGTGGGTTGGCTGGTGTCAGACCTGGTAGAAGGCTGGAAGGTGGAGGCCTCTCTGACCTTAGCCACATAGGAGTTAGCCTGGAGCTGATGATCTCGCACCTCCTTTTCATTGCATAGAGGAGGCCAGACACCTTCGTCATGCCATTTTACCAATGTGGACTTGTAGATGAAGAATAAGCATGTGGGAACCCAGCGTTTTAAACTTGTCTGCTTCTGCCTGGGAGAGGGTGCTGTTACACCCTCTGCTTAGAGGAGGAGTGAGGTCTTAGAGCTGCTGAAAGAAGCTGGATTGAGCAGGGTAGATTGCCTGATAAGGGCATCATGTGGCACCTGTGGGTGGTTAGAAAGATCTGGAGAAGTTGTCAGGCAGCTTTTGTGAGTAATACAAAAGTTTGAGAAGTACACTTGAACTTTAATCAGGTCAGTGTGGGTGTCCAGCTTCCCCCCTGGACTGGCCAGAAGAAGGGGTGTGGGCACTGTGAGGAGTTTCCAACAGCCTGGTTAGCAGCCGGGTGTTTAACCATGCTCCTGGCGCACACAGTAGGAGCTCAATAAACATTAGTTGGAGAAAAAGCCTGTTTTTTTTTTTAAAGTTTCATCCATTTATTCATTTAGTAAAAAATTATGTTTAGAATGTATCCTATATTGTTAGTTAGAGAGTTATTAACAGATTAGGCTTCTGTGTACTTTCCCCTTCACATGGGTCACTGTGGGCTTTGAGGGACTCAATCACGTGTCAACGCTAAGACTTTAAAAAAAATAATTTTATTGGGGGCTCATACAAATTTTATAAAAATCACTTTATTGGGGGCTCATAAAACTCATCATAATCCATCCATATATCCATTGTGTCAGCACATTTGTACATTTGTTTCCCTCATCATTCTCAAAACTTTTGCTCTGTGCTTGAGCCCTTGGTATCAGCTCCTCATTTTCCCCCCTGCCTCCCCGTTCCCCCCTCCCTCATGAACCCTTGACAATTTATAAATTATTATTTTGTCATATCTTACCCACTCCCTTCACCCACTTTTCTGTTCTCCGTCCCCCAGGGAGGAGATTATATGTAGATCCTTGTAATCGGTGCCCTGTTTCCACCCCACCCTCCGGTATCGCCACTCTCAGCACTGATCCTGAAGGGATCATCCGCCCTGGATTTCCTGTTTCCAGTTCCTCTCTGTACCAGTGCCTGGTCTTTCTTTCCTCAGTGAAAAATAGTGTAGGCTGAGAAGGGCGGGGTTCCTGTGTGCCACATGGTCTGGCCGAATTGGGCGTGGTCCATTGCCTGGACTTCCATCCCGAGGGAAAGCCCGATGTCCTCGAGGACTCAGAAAGTACGCGTTTAAAGGTGCCTCAAAGCCCTGGTGACAGTAAATTGCGTGTTGGGCTGCTAACCCCAAGCTCAGCCGCGTGAAACCACCGCGTTTCTAATCCGTGAGTTACAGTCTCGGAAACCCAGGGGGGTGTCTAGCCCGTCCCATGGCGGCTCCGTGGGTTGGGATCCGCTCGATGGCACGCGTGTGTTTTGTTCAAGACCGCTGAGTACCACTCATTCATTTCATATGCGGATCGGGATCAGAGCTACACAGCGATGACGTCACCAAAGGGAACCCTCCAAAGCAACTCTGTAGCTGGCTAATCGAGTGCATCGACTTTCTACCTACTCGGCTGAAATGACGAGCAGGATTATTCCATTGCTTTTGTCTGACGGGCGCGCTGAGCGCTGATTGGTCCTGACGGAGGAAACCGGAAGAAGGCGTGCACTTAGGACCCACGGCGTGCTGCGAGCCGGCGGCGGGGTGGCACGCAGTCTCGGCGTGTGTTGCCATGGCGTCACTCCGCTGTAGAACCGTCCTCTGCGTGGTCTGCTTGGAAAAGCCCAAGTATCGCTGCCCGGCCTGCTGCGGACCCTAGTGAGTGTGGGCGCCGGGAGCCCGGGCGCGGCGGCGGGGGTCCGCGCTGGGTGCGGGCCTGACGCGGGTTGTTCTCTCTCTTACAGCTGTTCCGTGACCTGCTTTCGGAAGCACAAAGGTAAGGCCGGCGCCCCTTCTCAAGGGGGGCAACCCCCACGGTCCGCTCCGCTGTTGTCTCGGGCACGTAGAGTCCTCGGCCTCTCCTCGCCTGATCCTGTCGGGGCCCCTCCCCGAGCCATTCTTCTTGCGGTCCCCCCTCTATCTGCCCGGGAACCTCCCTCCCTCCCTCCTCTGGTGTCCAGGACCTTTTCCTGGCTTCCCTGAGAGCGAGCTCTTCACCTCTGCCCTTGAGTCCTTCTCTGAACTGGAAACAGTGAAACAAAATAAAACTTCTCTGCCTTTCCTTCGCCTGTCACCCTGTTTTGCTTCTTCAAACATACTCCACTGTTACCTGGCAGAGACCAAGTAACACCTTTTGTGCATTGCTGATTCTCCTTGAGCATGTTCAGAAGACACCATCTGGCTCAAGTTAGGAATAGGGCTTCTGTGCTGGAAACAGGGCTGGAGATTTGGGATCTTTCGCTGCAGCCTTTTGACGCTCTGGAAGAACACGAATGGGCTCTGTGTTGGGCTGTTAACCACAGGCCAGGCGTTCAAAAACCACCAGCCACTCCCTGGCAGAAAGATGAGGCTGTTTACACGGTACAGATTTTGAGTCTCTGAAACCCAGAGGGGAGGGGGCAGTTTTGCTCTATCCTATAGGGTCGCTGTGAGTTACAGCAGCTCAGCTGCTGGGGGTTTAGGGGACAGTTGTCACTATGTGTTGTCACAGGGGCGGGGGTGGGGTGGGGTGCTGGTGGGACTGCTGATGTGGGAGGCCAGATCAACATCCTGTGGAACAGCAGGAGTCCCCCCCTCCCCCGCCCCAACACCAGTGGTGCTGTTTTTGAGAAACAGTCTCTTGTTCTGGCTTTGCTTCTTGTCCCCTAGCACCTCCAAGGCCAGTCCTATCAGTCAGCTGGCAGGTCCTCGTCCCCATCTCCCTGTACTAGGCCTGAGCCTTCCTGGTGTTTGCACCTGGCACAGGTGCTTCCACCGAGTTCTCTTGTGGATTTAGATCACACCCTTCTTACCTCTGGGGAAAAGAGGAGGCTTTCTACTCCTGTAGCGTTGCCTTAAAATTAAAAGAGTTCCAGTCTTCGAGACCCACAGCACACACAGTTCTTCCCTGTCAGGTAGGTCCTATAGGGTTGCTGTGGTTTGGGGTCCACCACCACGAACCTCGTCCCTTTCTCGAGCTATCATTTGTGGTTGTTTTTGTTGTTAGCGCCATTGAGTGGGTTCTGACCCATAGCGACCCAATGCACAACAGAATGAAGTACTTCCCAGGCCTGCCCCATCCGGTGCTGGAGCCCCTTGTCGCCACTGTGTTGGCCCATCTCATGGCGGGCCTTCCCCTTTTCACGGCCCCTACCAAGCATGATGTCTTTCTCCAAGGACTAGGCGCCTAACAATATGTCCAAAGTTTTTAGACAAAATCGAGCCATCCATGCCTCTGAGGAGCCCTCTGGCCTTCATTCAAGCCAGATTCGCTTATCTTTTTAGCAGTCTGTGGTACTTTTTATAAATAATTTTACTGGGGGCTCTTACAGCTCTTATCACAATCCATACTGTGGTACTTTCAGTGTTCTCCAGCACCATAATTCAAATGCATTGATTCTTCTTCAGTCGGCCTCATTGTCCAACTTTCACGTGCATGAGGCAGTAGAAAATGCATGGCAAGGGCGGAGAGATAAATGGCTCGGTGAGCCTCGCATTTCCAGTGTTGCTCGTGTCTCTTGCTCTCTGATGGTCAGACCAGGGTGCAGCTGTGTTAGCCAGTTCCCAGCTTCAGCTGGCAAAGATGCTCAATTCCTGCAAGACATCCCTGAGGAGAAGCCACATGGACCTACCCCGATGCAGTCCTGGGTGCTGGAGCAGCCGTGTGGAGACCCCTGCCAGTGCTGAGATGCTTACATGCTCACTGATTTGGCTTTCCTCCTGCAGTCGGCATCATTGCATGTGTTTTGTGAGATTGAGGAGAACTTTATAGATTGGTGTTGGACATATGGGCTAATGTCAGACTTATGGGCTTGGACAACACTGGGTTGGGATGCTTTCTTGATGTACACTTACCCTTTATATAAAACTCACTCATATACAAAAAAAAAAAAAAGAAAATACCATGGCTTAGGTCAGGTGCACCTTAGTCCTCAAAGTCACATCCTTGTTTTCCAATACCCCGAAGAGACTGTGCTGCAGCAGGTTTACCTAATGCGTCTTTTGATCTCGACGGACTACTCCTTCCATGAGGATTGATCAAGGATCCAAGCAAGACAAAATCCTTGACAACTTCGATCTTTTCTCCATCCATCATGTAATCTACTGTTCCTGTTGTGAGGATTTTGGTCTTTGTGACACCAAGTGGTAACTCATTCTGAAGGCTGCAATCGTTTGTGATAGTGTGGTCTGTTTACTTAGTGCGACCCCATAATACTGACCCCCTCTGAGGATGGTCTAGTGACTTTCGCTTCTGTGTTCCCAGTGGCACATGGTACAAATTTAGGGTCTTGAGAAAATCGGGAGTCAGTATGCACCCTAGTCCTGCTGGAAGCCCTGTGGGGTTAATCCAGAAGGAAGGGTGGGAATGGGCCCTTGGGGTACCTGAGATCAGCTTCCTTAGTCCCTCTGCCCGGCCTGGGGCTACTTGGGGTTTTCTTTATACTACCCCTTGCCTTGACCACTCCCTCCCTCCACATCTATCTCCGCCCCACCCCTAGCCCTCACCACCCACAAGTTGGCTTTGGGGTCAGGTCTGGGCAGCTTCTTGTCACTGTAGAGGCGGCTTGGCCTGAAATGTGTGTCTCTTTCAGAACAGTGCAACCCTGAAACTCACCCCACAAGGAAAAAAAGAAATTCATCCTTTCCTACAAAAACCACAAAGCCTGTGGAAAACCAAGGTGAGGTGGTTGATTTTTTTTTTTTTACAACGAAACCAACCAACTTAGAAGGGGGTTTCAAGTAGGATAGGTGGAAAGGAAAGGACAACCTGGGAGTCCAGCACTACAGGCTTCCTTAGCCTGAGCCCTAGGGGTGGAGACGCCCCTTGTCATGAGTGACATTGACAGGACCAGGTGAACATCACGTGGGGAATGGAGAGGACAAAGCCTCAGCAGGGGTGCGAGGAGGGTGTAGGGTGGGCCCAGCTCTGGTGGCCCTCTCCATGGGCTGGCCAGGCGCCCCTTGTGACCCAGGTCACCTTGCTGGCAGCTCCCGCAGCAGTGCACAGCAGTAGTGGACTGTCATTCCCCACAGCTCCCCAAACTCCCTCTGATGCCTTCTCAGTCTCCTGCCCAGGCCAGGCTCTGAGAGCAGCCAAGAAGTCCTGAAGCGTCACAGCAGAGGGATGGGCCTCCTTTTCTCCCTTGGAGAAACGAGTGGGTTCAGATAGTGCCATGCAGTTTTTGCCAATGCTGAAGGCAGACAGGGTGTACTTGAGCAGGTGTTCAGAGCACTTCATTTTTTGGTCCTTGACACAGCTGGAACCATGGTGCTTAGAATTGGAAAATCAGGTCCCAAGTCGAGAGGAGAGTATGAGGCCAAGGAAGCTCCCCTCCTTCTGCTCTTTCCTTCCTCCCCGGAGTGGTAGTGTGGCCTCCGGTGCCGGTAGGGTGTCTGTGTGCTTATCTATGCAGACACTACTGGAGGGGTGTCCACGCCGGGTGCCTGCCTGCCATCAGCAGTTGGCTTGTTTTCTTCCCTCAGACAATGAGTCATCGGTAGCCGATTTTCTCAATAGTGATGAGGAGGAGGACAGAGTTTCCCTGCAGAATTTAAAGAATCTGGGTAAGTCTGTACTTATTCCTTTTTCTATTAAGTACTTTATTGGGGGCTCTTACATCTCTTATCAATCCATATACTCATCCAATGTGTCAGACATTTGCTGCCATCATTTTCAAAGCATTCTCTTCCCACTTGAGCCCTTGATATCAGCTCCCATTTCTTCCCCAGCTTATTCCTTTCTTTTTCAACCTTTTGAGACTTACTGTTGTTGGTGTAGGTTTTACACGGCAGCGTAGGTTCTCATTGCCCACTCTCGTTAGCCACCTTCACAGTGGGCATGCTCAGTATTTCCAGTCTACTCATTCCATTTCCATCATTCTGGTTTTTCTGCCCCTTTATATGTCATTTTAAAGTTATTGTTGACCGTCTGGTTTCTTATAGATGTTTTTTTTAAAAAGGAGCAATATTTGCGGGTGAGTCTTTATTTTTTGAGCCAATAAGTACCTAAAACAGATGATGATGGAGCCTAGCTCTGTTTCTAGGTTTCTAAGGGCAGGTCTTGGGGAGTCCTCCAACCCACGAAGACGACACATGTGATCTTTTGAGTGGAATGTAATTTTTAATAAAAGTTACCGACTACCTCAGCAGGACCTGCCCTCTCCAGGCACCTCCCCGATGGGCTTATGCGGCCCCCTGGGCTGCCACCAGTCATTGCCTCCACCTGTTACTCCTCCCAGCCCTGAGCCCTGCCTGGCCCAGTGGGCTCGCTCCACAGCATGCTCTTTCAGAACGAGGCCCTCTCTCCGCTTCCCATGGTGCCTTGGATTTAGTGACCACCGTGTGGAAACTCCTCTCTCCCTGACCAGTCTGTAGGGCTGTCACCTATGTCCCCCACATGCCCCTGTGTGAAGTCCACCGCCCAGACCACAGTGCTGACTGGTAACCACCAGATTTAATGTTTTAGGGCAGTGGTTCTCAACTTCCCTAAGGCCGTGACCCTTTCATACAGTTCCTCCTGTTATGGTGAGCCCCCCTCCCCCCCCAACCATAAAATCATTTTCATTGCTACTTCCTACCTATAATTTTGCTACTATTATGAATCGGGTGACCCCTGTGAAAGGGTCTTTTGACCCCGAGGTTGAGAACTGCTGATTTAGGGGGAGCAGGGATGAGTGATGCCCTGCCTTCCTGCAGCGCGCTCATTCAGTTCCTCATCAGGGCTCTGGTCTGGGTGTGGTTAAAGGTGGGTACGTCTGCCCCCACTCCCCCGCTATTGTGTACCTTCCTCACTGAGAGCCCTTACTCTGCCCAGGGAAATAAACCTGTCAGTGATTTAATACTGGGCTCTCTGTGCACGGGGGTGGGTGGGTGGGGTTCAGAAAAGAAAGTTTGTGGGAAAACGGAATTCAAATACAGTGGAATTTTTCATCAACTCTCTGAAGCCCACAGGTATTTGTGGTATTTAGACGTAACCTGGGTATCTTAAGTTGCTCATTACTGCAGAACAGGCGGCGCCCCACCTGCCCTGTTGAGCTCAGGTTGTTGTCCTTGTTAATTTCTAAGGGAACTCCGCGCCACTGAGGAGCTTACTGCTGAACCCGCACCTCCGACAGTTGATGGTCAGCCTTGACCAGGGAGACGACAAAGCAAAGCTCATGAGAGCTTATATGCAAGAGCCCTTGTTTGTGGAGTTTGCAGACTGCTGTTTAAGGGCTGTGGAACCAGCCCCGCATGAGGCTTGAGCCGGGTCACTGTGCTGCGGGCCCTTCTCCCAGGAGAGCGGCCGGCCCACCCTGGCGCTTACCTCCCAGACAGAGTGGAAGCACTCATCGCAGGCGAATCCTTCATGGAGAGAAAGCGGTGGTTCCAAAATGTTTGATTTATTTTTGGTTGTTATGATCCATATCATGAATGATGATGTTCATCCTTGGTTTATGGTATTCTAATTATTTGCAATTATATTAAATAAATCGATAATTTGTTAAACACAGTTCATTCCATTTTCAGGAACAAAATGTGAAATTTCCCCAAACCAGAATTCCAAAAGTGCTCTCAGGGAGGGAATCGGGGTGCTGTGCTGGGGACACGGACAGTACCCCAGGATGGGCCTGTGGACATCATGATGGTCTTCTGTCCCTGGCTCAGCAGCTCCCACTCCTCACGCGGCTGCAACCTGGCTGAACCGCAGCCAGCACGCTCCTGTGCTGTCATCGCCGCGGGAATAGTTTGGCAGCTGTGTGCTGATTAAGTGTCTTTGGCAAGGCAGCTGGCAGGAAAAGGCCTCGGAGAAACAAAGGCACCAAGGAAAACCCCACCAGGGGTGGGCAGAGGGCAGGAGGCTCTCACACCTGGACCAGGCGGGGCCTCTCCAGCAGAATCTGATTAAAGCCAGCGGCAACATCGTAGGGCAGAGGCTCGGGGCAGGTGTCCGCGTGGCGCAGCGGAGACTTTCTGCAGTGGAACTTGATGGAACCCTGGGGAGAGGGAGGAGAGATGCTGCTAAGCCCTGGGTGTGCAGGACTGGAAGCAGCCCTTTGGGCAGGTCAGTGCTGCTGTGAGGACCACAGCAGTGGCAGGATGGAGTCCGTCAACATTCTGTTCTGTGTACTTATTCTAAATCACAGGCTCCCGAGTTGGTTTGGCCTATTGCCCCCCTTTCAGGAAACAACCAGCCCTCAGCACCCCTGGCAATGAACAAGTCCGTGGTCCAGGGGGACGTCAGGCCTCTGTTTTTGCAGCAGTCCCTGGGACCATTCCAGTGCCCCCCAGGGGCCATACTGCCCATTTCGGGAAATGCTGTTCTCATACGCCACGGCGGTATTAAGATACAGGACCAGGAGGGTGTGACCTGTGCTCACTCTTCAGACATGCAGTGCCTCCTGTCTGCTGCTCCTGCCACTTCACTTAACCCTTTGCCGGCCTGTGTCAGAGGTGAGCGTCTTCTCCCCATTTTATGGACGAAGAAATGGGGCCACCCAGAAATGAGATGCGACTTGGCCAGGGAGAACAGGATAACCCTGCAGATTCTGCCTCCAGAACGCAAGTCTTCCCGCAACTGATTTCTAATGGGAGCATGGCAGCGATTTCGGAGAGTGCCGGCTGTCCATAATGTAAAAGGGGGAGGGTGCCCTAGAACACGGACTTGCGTGGTCACTCCTTCAGCTGGGAAAGGAGGTAACCTGAGGATTAACTTTTGGGGAGAGCATGGTACCAAATCCAGCTGTGTGAGGGCGTAAGCATTGCTGTTTCAAGATGACTGTGGAGCTGCTAGAGCACTCGGGGTGTTCCAACATGACTCGGCCCTGGGAAGCCCACCTGTGATGATGAGAAGCCTGCAGGCTGGCTCACCTCACAGCCTCTGTCCTGCTTGCCCTGTGACCTTAGAGCTTGCTTCCTGCCTGACAGTGGGGAATGAGCAGGACAGATCACCCCGCAGAACCTACCTGAGGCAGCGCTCGTATGGACGTGACCCCAGCCTGGTGGTGCTGTGCCGTCTGGATAGGGGAGCTGCTGGACACTCCAGAGGGCAGCTGGAGGCAGGCCCAGACCACCAGCTTCCTCTGAAAGCCACGCACACTGGTGGCCGAGTTGGCTAGGACCAGGCCCAGTAGCCAGAGGCGGATCACTGCCCCCTGGAGCTTGGTCTGGGCTGGGGGCAATGGGGTGGATCTTGGGGAAATGGGATCTTCAAACGGGCGTTTTCCCTCCACACCATCCAGTTCTTCAGAAACAAGTGAGGCCATTCTGATCTTAAAAAGAAAACAGTCCTAATTTATCTACCTCTTAATGGTAACTGGAAACCCAGCTATCTTTTGTAAATCAGCTTATCAAGGGGCAAGGAAAGGCTGTGGACACTGAATGAGACTGGTTCTTTGTGGGACTCATCAAAGGCTACAAGGCAGTGCGCCTGGCCCCGTGCTCAGCCCTCACACAGCCTCCTCACAGAAAGCCATACTGAAAGAAAGCCATACTTGGGTAATTCGGGGAGTTTAGGATCATCCCGGGTCAGTCAGCTATGCCTCTCCCTTCACAACAAGCCTTCAGTACGGGTGGTGCCACCCTCCTCTTCTACCCCAGGAACAGGCCTCAGAGATTGCTCGACCCATGCTGTCCAGCTTTCTGAATTGGTCTGTCGTGCCCACCCCAGCACAGCCCACCCGGATCATCGGGACCCACACTCACTCTCCACCTGCGCCACGCGTGCTTGATGACATTGGCCGCCATGTGCAGTTTCCGGATGTGCTTCCGAGTCAACCAGGAGCGAGTGGCTGAGGTGTGCCCGGAAATGGGAGAGAACAAGATGTTCATGAGGCTATTGTGACCTGGCGTCGTATGGGATGGGGGCTGACTCGGTGGCAGCAACCTGTAGGGCACCCTGATTGATGGTGGTCTCCACTGAGATGTTCTGGGCGAGCTGGAC